ATAACATTTAATTTTATCCATTAATTTTTCGGGTTTTGTACAATTTTGGCCTAGTTTGCTCTATGAATTACAAGTATATGTTATGTGAATGAATTTGTACTTGTTCATATTTGTATAATGTTAATTTTTTTGTTATGTGTACGTTTGTAGATATTGATTGATGGAAGAAATGAAGAGGCAGTAGATGTTGAAGGTTATCAATTGCCCACACTTGTTTACTTAGCTCGTGAGAAAAGGCCTCAATATCTCCACAACTTCAAAGCTGGAGCTATGAATTCATTGGTAAATCGATCACCTTTTATTTACAGTTTTGTTATTTGATAAACATGTCGTTGGTCCTGTTTGACAATTAACTTTTAGTTGTTTGTATTAGTGTAATTATTTTGACTAGTTGGTTGGGATTAGTTGTTGGTGTAAAAGTGTTTGGTAAAAAGCAATTAGTTATTATTATGTGTTTATGCAGCTAAGGGTATCATCAGAAATAAGCAATGGACCGGTAATCCTCAACGTTGATTGTGACATGTATTCGAATAACTCAGAGTCTATTCGCGATGCACTCTGTTTCTTCATGGATGAGAAGAAGAGCCAGGACATTGGGTTTGTACAGTTTCCACAAAACTTTGAAAATACTACTAAGAATGATATATATGGTTCAACCCTTCAAGTTATCAGTCAAGTAAGTACATCATAATTTTCCAAGTTATGATTACAAATTACATGTACTAGTGGTTTAAATAATGTACATTTTATTCGACTTAAATTATTTTCCTTACGTAGGTCGAATTTCATGGTTTGGATGGCTTAGGAGGTCCATTATATATCGGAACTGGTTGCTTCCATCAAAGAGAAATATTATGTGGTAGGAAATACTCTAAGGATTACAAGATCGATCGGAAGACCTCGAATGTGGATGGAACAATCGACGAGTTGGAAGAAAGAGCAAAATCGCTTGCTAGCTGCGTATATGAGCTAAACTCTCAATGGGGAAAAGAGGTAAAAATAAAAATAAAAAATGGCCTTATATGTAACACCCAAATAATTCTCTCTTAAAATTAAATATCGTGGAAATTAATTTCAGCGGGGATTGAAATAAGGGTGTCCAGTTGAAGATGTAATAACCGGGTTGGCAATCCAATGTCGAGGATGGAAATCAATATACTTGAATCCGAAGAGAAGTGCTTTTTTAGGTTTAGCAGCTACAACTTTAGAAGATACACTAGTGCAACATAAAAGATGGAGTGAAGGTGATCTTCAAATCATGCTAACACATTGTCCTTTATGGTACGGCCATAAAAGTATTGGCCTAGGCCTTCAATTGGGCTATTGTCACTACTGTTTTTGGGCAGTCAACTCCCTTGCAACCTTGTGTTATTGTACCGTCCCTTCTCTATACATGATCGGAGGCATTTCCGTGTTTCCTAAGGTACGGAGTAATTTTTATCATTTTCGAGTTTGAAGTTTTATGCTATCTATTATGACATAAACAATTCTTATACGTGAAAAATTTGTTATGTTAGTTATCAAGTTCATGGTTTCTTCCATTTGCCTACGTTATCATTGCCACGTACACGTACAACTTAATAGAATTCGTATACACCGGAGGTACGATTTTAGGGTGGTGGAATGAACAAAGGATTTGGCTCTATAAGCGAACATCATCATACTTGTTTGCCCTCGTTGACACGATTTTGAAACTCATTGGGTTTTCGGAAATGAAATTTGTGATCACGAACAAGGTGGCCGATGAAGATGTGTATCAAAGATATGAGAAAGAGATTATGGAATTTAGAGCCCCTTCTCCCATGTTCACTTTGCTAACTTCTCTTGCATTGATAAATTTATTTACTTTTGTTGTCATAATAAAAAATTTGTTAGTAAGAAAAGAGGTTAGATTGATGATTGAAGGATTAAGCTTGCAAATTTTGCTATGTAGTGTGTTAGTTTTAATCAATTTTCCATTGTTTAAAGCTGTTTTTATTAGGAAAGACAAAGGCAAGATGCCAAATTCTGTGATTATGAAAGCAATAGTTGTATCTTTTATTATTGTACTTTATTTTTGTCATTAGGACCTTTAATTTTATAGATTGATTGTAATTTATAAGAGAGTAATAAAAGGAGAAATAGTACATGCATTTGACTCGTCTTTTGGGGGTGACATATGACTTAGCCTTTATTTATTGTTGTTAGTATTGAATTATTCCTTCCTTCCCTAAATGATTATATACAAAGTATTTATATGTGACTAGCTATACCAAATTTATAAAGTTCATCACAAGGAAAATTCTTTTCTTGTTCCATTTTGTTCAATTAGTTATAACATTCGCTCTTAATTATTACATTTTCGATCAATGTAAAAAGATGGTAGTTCATTTGCTCGTACTACATTATCGATTATAAATAAGGTGGTAGTTATGGCTTGGGATCAAATTTCGTCTACACCATTTGTCATTGTGACTCTCTCTACACCAAGGAAAAAAAGGGGGAAAAAATCAACTCTGATATTGTTTTATCCAAACTTATTTTATTTTATACGAATTTACTTGAAATTAAATAAAGACAAGCAAAAGATGATTCCAATCATCAATATAGCTTCCTGTTGGATTAGGGTGGGTCCAAGTTTGGAGTGGTTTATTTGTCCCAAACTCTCTATTTTGTGTTAAAAATAGTGGGTTTTTTTAGGCCAATTGGTCTTGTATGGACCCAGTCTACAATAAATTATTATAGATCCAAAATTTGACACTTTCAAATAATATAATCACATTCTGGATGATATAATCACTTTTTTAGATGATATAATTATCTTTTTGTGAGTTATATTTTGAATTATATAATCTCGTATTAAACCATTTAATGAGATTATATAATTATCTTTAGGATGATAAAATTTAAAAATCATGTTTTGAATGATGTAATTTACTATTTGATACTTTTTATAATGATAAATTCACTTTTTGAGTGACACATTTACATAACAATTTCAGGATGATATAATAACTTTTGTAGTAATATAATTACATTTCGTATGATATAATCACATTCGTATGATATATTAGAAGATTGGGTCTACAATAAATTATTGTAGACCGGGTCTATTCTAGTCTTTATCTACTTTTTATAATGATAAATTCACTTTTTGAGTGACACATTTACATAACAATTTCAAGATGATATAATAACTTTTGTAGTAATATAATCACATTTCGTAAGATATAATCACATTCGTATGATATACTAGAATGGGTTTACAATAAATTATTGTAGTTCGAGTCTATTCTAGTCTTTACCTTTTTAGGCGGAGCGAAACTTACACTTAAAATTAAAATTTAAGCTGCTATCATCCCACAAAAAAATTAAAATCAATATAATTGATCAAGCATGAGCACAAATTTGGGCCCACGAAAGTTGGCTAAACCCGTACATATTTGTATACATATTGGCGAAATGGCGAGGCGGGGTGCTTGTGTGGTGGTAGATTTTTTTTGTCATTTAATAAGGTGATGTTTGGTTTACTTGGAAATTAGAACTTTCCATGAATTGTAAATTTATGGGAATTAAATTCCTATAATCAAATTCATGGGAATTTTATAAAATTATTTGGTTAAAAATGAGGGAAGTAACTTTTATGGGAATTTTCACTTACCTAGGGGGTTAAGTAAGTAAGTTCCTACATTTTGTGGGAACTCAAAATTTCTAGAAAGTTCCACTTCCCCCATTTCACCAAATTATTGTCAACCAAACAACACACTAAAATTGCAATTCCTAGGAAGTCTCACTTCCCATGTTTTTTTATGTCAAACAAACAACCCCTAAGAGTATCTAGTTGAAAATGGATTCAATTATACCATTACCGTTATCAAGGTTTGGGTAACAATCAGTGGCGGAGCCACATTAGAACAAGGGGGGACAGTTGTCCCCCCATTTTCGGAAAAAAAGTTTTTTTTTTATAAAAAAAAAAAATCAAGAAAATACAGTAAAAGGCTATAAATAACATATACTTACACTAGATATCACAATATTGAATATGGTTTGGTGGTTGAGTCCTTAGTAAGGCAGTGTTTTGGTCCTAGGTTCGATTCCCTACTCTACTGTTTTTCAGCTTTTTTGTTTTTTTTTCCCCTACTTCTTGTTTTTTTTATTACATACTCTAATTTTCAACAACCTTTTTAATTTGATTTTTTATTTCCTATTTCTTGTTTTAGGATTTTTAATGTTATTTCTTATTTCCTACTTCTTGTTTTTAATTATCGCTTTAACTAAGTGTGCTTAAACTCAATTTTTTTTTTACATTTCTAATAAATAGATTACTATTAATTAATTGTTTGTAACTGTGTTTTAACGAAATACATATTAATAATATGATTGATTTGAAAAAGTTGAGTTTATTTTTTCGAATGTAACTCAAACCCTGGCCCTTCATATCTACCATCAATTTGTTTTAACGATAATTATTTGACTTTATGATAAGGTAATTAATTCGTATTTATCAATTATGTGATTACATAACATGATTTACAAATATAAATTTATTCATTTTTGTTGGATAATTTTCTTAATATACAATAAAACTTTTTTACCCCTCTTTTTCCATATAGAAATAATTGGCATATGTGATTTCAAATAAATATTAAACAATTTAGGTTATCAATTTTTTTCTTGAGATTTTTGCCGAAACTTTAACCTCCAAAATTTGTCCCCCCGAATTATAAATCCTGGCTCCGCCACTGGTAACAATTATCATTACCTTAGGATAATGGTTTCCTCTCATAGAGCAACAATTACCTTTACCCTCCTCTAACAAAAATAAATTGAACTAGGTTTAGGTGATTCCTTTCCATACTTAAACCAAACAAATGAAAAGGTAATGATTAAATAATTCATTTCCTTCTCCTTATTTGTTTCATTTCCACTCCATTTCTAATATTCAAATTAGATGCCCCCTAAGTCTATTGTAGTTCCAAGATATTAAATTTATATCACTGCATAAATTCGTAATCAATTAAAATTATTAACGATTTTATACTTGTATTTATAAACGTATACTATATTGATTTTATACTTATGCGTACATTGCATAATAAGAGGCGTGTCAACTAAAAAACAAAGGAGATAATATGACAAGACATTAAGATTTAAAGATAAAGAAAGAAGGTTTGCATCAAAAAAAAAAAAAAGAAAAAAAAAAAAGAAAAAGAAAAAGAAGAAGATAAACAGCCAACTGAAGAAGAAAACTAGCTTAAACCCTTTAAAAAAATTGGTTCAATAATTACCAAAACAGATGAGAGAAAAAATGGGAAAAGATGAATACTTTCCTTTATTTGAGACGAAGCAAGCAAAGGGAAGATTAATTTACAGGGTATTTGCAACATCTATATTAGTTGCAATTTGTGTAATTTGGGTTTATAGATGTTCTTACATGCCCAAGAAAGTTGGGGAGGGAAGATTAGGTTGGGTTGCTTTGTTTATGGCTGAAATTTGGTTTGGTTTTTATTGGATTCTTTCTCAAGTTTTTCGATGGAATTGCATCTATCGTTACTCTTTCAAAGATAGACTCTCCAACAGGTACTTTTTTTTAATGTTTCCCCTCCTTTAATAGAGTTAGTCATATATTAACTAATTAAGTAGTAGTAGTAGTGTATCAAGTATGGTTCTAAACAAGATAATTGGATAGAGTAGCTGGCTAGTTCTTCGATCTTTCGGCACGAGGTGAGATATGAATCTCACCGGGCTCATTATAAAAAAAAAATGTCTTAATTTTGCTTGTTAGGAGGGTCCTTCTCCCTAACCAACCAAAATTTAGTCTAGACATGTTCAGTTTAACTTATCTAAGTTTATATTAGCTTATTTCATAAATAAATCAGATTATTTGTATTTATTTATCATTAAATATCATTTTTCTTTACTTGTTAAATATTATGAAAAATTTATATTCGAAAAGTACATATTGATACAAATACAATAACAAACAATTTTATTTAACAGATTATCGTACAAATAAAGTTAAAGTTTGGTTAAATTCAGAAATTAAATCATATAAAAAAATTTCATATTTGAAAAAAAAAAATTATATTCGAAAATTAGGAATGCTTTCTTGTAAAGATCGTGATATAATAATCTAATTCATATAGAAATAGAAATTTTGATATCTATAAATGGGTCAATATATTAAAGTGTTGGAGTAGAGTAGCTTATAGAAGCAAATTATTAATAATGATTGTTTTGTTTTTCCTATAATATTGATTAGTGATGACTTTAATTTCTATTACTCCATAGTAAAAATTGTGAAAAAAATACTAGAATATTACTGGTACAAAAATAGACCTTATGAGAATTATAACCAATCTAATAATTATTTATTACTCCGTATCATTTACTCCTATTCATTTTATTTCTCGTGAAATGTTGATAATGATCAAACTAGCACCGCTTTCAACAAACATGTGTTAAATATTATGATCACGTGCTAAAACATGGCCATTTTGAAAAGCAATGATACGATTGTACTTGTCCAAAAAAAAAAAAAAATACAGCCATTATTTGTTAGACATTTTATGGGAAAGTGGCCCACTAAGTTAACAATTTTTTTTTTTTTTTTTTTTTTTTTTGCTGGAAGTTGATAATTGTTGTCATATACTTTGTCTTTCCTATGTCTAGTTCTAATGTGTAGTTGCATAAAAATCATATGTCAATGAAGACTTGAAAATAAATTGATATAGCATCAAATTTATGTAACTTCATTATTTAATTTGTCACTTTGTCACCCTAAATGTAGGATGTTGAAATGTATGGTGTAGTAAAGTATTTCCTATTTGTCTTAAAACTCTTAATCGACTTTAGCAATATATTCACAAAAAACTCTAATGATAAATTTCTGGTTTCGCCACTGTTCTATTGCACCTTAGCCCTTATTAATTGACCCTTTAAAGAATTCTCACTAATATTCTTGGTTAATTTATGAACAAGGTATGAGAATGACTTGCCTACGGTGGACATATTCGTATGCACGGCGGATCCATTAATCGAGCCACCACTTATGGTGATCAACACTGTTTTATCGGTCATGGCTTATGACTACCCACCGGAAAAGCTTAGCATCTACTTATCCGATGATGGTGGCTCGATTTTAACATTTTATGCTCTTTTTGAGGCCTCTCAATTCTCTAAGAATTGGCTACCTTACTGCAAAAAGTATAAGGTTGAACCAAGATCCCCTGCTTCTTATTTTAGATCAATGCTTGAGCCTACTAATGCTACTCATTCTAGCCATTTCACATCTATCAAGGTACTAAACCAAAACCCAATTCTTGGTTATATGACTGTACAATTACAACTCTTTTTGAGTATATGATTTGTTGATTATATATTTATTGCTGATAATTAATTATACACTTAAGATATAACTCGACCACAAACAATGTTAGGAAGTATATATTATGTTACTAATTGATTGTACAATTACAACTCTTAGCCCATGGCTACTTCATTCTAATTAAAAAGTTTACTAATTTGCAAAATTCATTTGGTACATTCTTTTTCATGCAAACCAATCAAAGAAATTGTATGAAGAAATGCAAACCAGGATTGAGATGGCATCAAATCTTAGCCAGATTCCAGAGGAAGTACGCGATCAACACAAAGGATTTTCCACATGGAACGATAGCTATACTTCTAAACGTGACCACGATACCATTCTTCAGGTTAATCTATTTTTCATACTTCCTAGCAAGTAGCAACTATTTCGGCCTAATCTTTGTTCTTGATCCTTAATTTGAACAATAAATTGTAATTGTGTGTACATATATATATATATATATATATATATATATATATATATATATATATGTATGGTTGTATAAATTATTGTTTTCGTATTCTTTAAATTTCTTTTTACACGAGTACAATTGTAGATATTGATTGATGGAAGAGATAAAACGACTATAGAAGTTGAAGGTTGTCAAATGCCTACACTTGTGTACTTAGCTCGCGAGAAGAGGCCTCAATTTTTTCACAACTTCAAAGCCGGAGCTATGAATGCATTGGTAAATCGATCAAACTTCTATATGAATATTTTTAGCTAGGTCAATGCCTAATTAATTTTGTTCATTATATAATATAAGTTTAATTGTATGATCTTGGGATATATATACATCATGTTATGCAGCTAAGGGTATCATCTAAAATAAGCAATGGACCGGTTATCCTCAACGTTGATTGTGATATGTACTCGAATGATTCACAATCTATTCGCGATGCTCTTTGTTTCTTCATGGATGAGAAGATGAGCCAAGACATTGCTTTTGTGCAATTTCCGCAAAGATTTGAAAATACCACCAAGAATGATATATATGGTTCTGCCCTTCAAACGAGCTATGAGGTAAGTTATACTAGTATATATATCATAATAACTTCCTAAATTGAACAAGTTGTTGTTTGAAAAATACATAGTTTTAAAATGCACGTTTTCTTTGAATTATAAATAGGTGGAATTTCATGGTTTGGATGGCTTTGGAGGTCCATTATATATTGGAACTGGTTGCTTCCATCAGAGAGAAATATTATGTGGAAGGAGGTACTCTAAGGATTACAAGATCGATTGGAAGAACTCGAATGTGGTTGGAACAATCGACGAGTTGGAAGAGAGTGCCAAATCACTTGCTAGCTGCACATATGAGCTAAACTCTCAATGGGGAAAAGAGGTAATTTATGCCCTTAATTGTATAATTGATGATTAATAATATAGGAACTATACTAGTATATCATATATTGTACATCTGTTTCAATCATTTATATTTCAAATCGCGTATATTAATTATATCTATCCGAAATTGAATAATAAATTCGAGTTTTTAGATGGGATTGAAATACGGGTGTCCAATCGAAGATGTGATAACAGGGTTGGCAATACAATGTCGAGGATGGAAATCAGTGTACATGAATCCAAAAAGGAGTGCATTCTTAGGTTTAGCAGCTACAACTTTGGATGATACACTAGTGCAACATAAAAGATGGAGTGAAGGTGAGCTTCATATCATGCTAACACATTGTCCTTTATGGTACGGCCATAAAAGGATCCACCTCGGCCTTCAATCGGGTTATTGTTACTATAGTCTTTGGGCAGTTAACTCCCTCGCGACCTTGTGTTATTGTACCGTACCTTCTCTATACATGCTCGGAGACATTTCCTTGTTCCCTAAGGTATTTTCATCACTTTCGAGTTGAAGTTTTTTTTATGCTACGACGTACAAATAATATAATAATCTTACATGATTTTTTTTTTTTTTTGGTTTTTTTTTTGGTGTTGTAGTTGCCAAGCCCGTGGTTTTTTCCATTTGCCTACGTTATAATTGTCACGTACACGTACAACTTAGTAGAATTCGTATACACCGGAGGCACGATTTTAGGGTGGTGGAATGAACAAAGGATTTGGCTCTATAGGCGAATATCCTCGTACTTATTTGCCCTCATTGATACAATGTTGAACCTCATCGGATTTTCGAAAATGAAATTCGTGATCACGAATAAGGTGGCCGATGAAGCCGTGTCTAAAAGATATGAGAAAGAGATCATGGAATTTGGTGTAACTTCTCCCATGTTCACCATGCTAACATCTCTTGCATTCATAAATTTGTTCACCTTTGTTGTCCTAATTAAAAAGTTATTAGTAGGAGGGGAAATAATTAGGGGAATGATTATTGAAAGATTAAGCTTGCAGATTTTGTTATGTTTTGTATTGATTTTAATTAATTATCCATTGTTTAAGGCTGTTTTTATAAGGAAGGACAAAGGTAAGATGCCTAGTTCTGTCACTATAAAGGCTTCCGTTGTATCTGTTATAATTGTGCTTTATTTTTGTTACTAGGGTTTTTTTTTCTCTTTAATTTGAAGGAATTTGTTGTAAAATAGGGGATAATAGGAATAAATAAAGCACTTTTTATTTTCTTGCATATGGTTTCTATTCTAAAACAATTTTCAGTGGACTTGTCTTTTTAATGCATAATAATAATTTTGCTTTTTTCATTATTATTTTATTTAGTCTTTTCATTCCTAAAATGAGGAAAATAGAGTTACTGTATAAGGGTATGGGAAAAAACATACTACCTCCTTTCAAATAAGATAATTCATTTTTTTATCACATTATATTTTTTAATTTCTTATTTATAAATTACAAAACATGATTAAAGTAGAGTTTGTAAATAATATCAAAAGTTAAAACATATCATCTAATTTAGTACAGAAAAAGATATTCCGAAAGGAGGAGAAAAAGGGAAGAACCATAAACAGTTTGGGTACATATTTTGTGTTTTATTGTGAATTTGTATAGGTTCATAAATCATAATACAAGCTCAACTTCCCTATTTTTTATGTGTATATAATGTACTCCGTATGTCGGCAAATAAAAGTAGGCAGACTAAGTTCCAAAATTATTGAGATCAATCAATCCCTCAATAAATAATCAATACTCCCAAAATATGACATACAAGATGCCACGTTTCTCCATATTTTGGCATCATGATTTCTAGAGATATCATGCTATAATCCAAAAACTTTTAATGTTATTTTGTGCAAAATCTAAAGGATGTAGATAAAATTTGATTTCAAATTATCTTGAATATATATTATCTTTAAAATTTAATTAAACTAATTGGCATCTACACTATATATACATATATTATAACTAAAAGAGTAATAGTTAATGAGAAAGTTCATTGACGACTTTGTCTTATTGGTTCATGCCAAATTAGGATATACCATCTTTACAAATGATTTTGGTTCACACAACTTAATAGTAACTCAACTAACAAAAGATTGAGCCATTCTTAGCTTGAGGGTTCAATTTTTGTTATCTTATTACAATAATTTAGACCCAAATTGTAAAGAAAGATGGAAAATGAAGGGTATGTACCTTTGTTTGAAACGAGGCAAGCTAAGGGAAGGTTCATGTATAGGGCATTTTCAGGGTCAATTTTAATGGCTATATGTATGATATTGGTTTATAGAGCAACTCATATACCCCAAAAGAATGACCAAGGAAGATGGGCTTGGATTGGATTATTTGGTGCTGAAATTTGGTTTAGTTTTTATTGGATTCTTACTCAACTTCTTCGTTGGAATATTATTTATCGTCATACTTACAAAAATCGGCTTTCAAATAGGTAAACTCTATTTGCTCACTTTGTAATTTTTATTCAATCTTTTGTTAATACAACTCTATTGTTATTGTGTTGTTTGTTTTTGGTTAATTTGTAGTCAGGTTATATATATGGACATGTTTGTTGATGATTTACTCCTTGAATTTTATGATAATAGACTCGGTTAATTTTTATTTTTTGAACAATTTCACATATTTTTCACATGTATTGTTGGGTCGGGTTTTTAATTATTGGGTCGGGTTTTATTTTAAGCCAAGCTAATCTAACTTAAATTTCTAGTTTCTAAATAGGACTATAGAAGTATGAGTTTACAACATAACAATTTTTTTTTTTTTTTTTTGACAGAAACAAATTCATTTTTATTGCCACCTTTAATTTATTACCTTTTAGGTACGAAAAACAAGTAGTGGAGTGTTCTACTTAGCTAATTTTCACTAATAATGAAATAATTTTAAATTATAAATTAAAGTTGATCAACCTTTAATTTATTAACCAATTATCAAAACTTATTTTCCTAAAGTATCTTAACTTATGATTAATTCTTATCAGAACTATCGATTAGATCGATCTTACTACTTTAATTTCTCGAAGTAGTAAAAGATGATTATATATTGATTGATTAATTAGGTAAACAATATAGGAGCTTAGCAATAGTCCTCTTATTTCTTTATTGATGTTTTAGCCTTGCTATTGCATAAATATGTACAAGGATAATTTCCTCCAAAAAAAAAAATGTACAAGGATAATTTATTGAGATTGATTAATTTTCTCTCCGTTTAATTAACATCATCACCATAATTCATAACATATACCATTTTTTTCAACGTACACTTTTATTTTTTCTGAATTTTATAGGTATGAGGCTGAGTTACCTAAGGTGGACATTTTTGTATGTACGGCTGATCCAGTGAGAGAGCCACCAATAATGGTGATCAACACGGTTTTATCGGTCATGGCCTACGACTACCCACCGGAAAAGCTCAGCATTTATTTATCCGACGATGGTTGCTCAATTATAACATTTTATTCTCTCTTTGAGGCCTTCCATTTCTCTAAACATTGGTTGCCTTATTGTAGAAAATATAATGTTGAGCCTCGGTCACCCGCTGCTTATTTTAGCTCCATGCATAAGCCTATAGATGCTAATCACTATCATTCTAGTGATTTTGCATTTATTAAGGTGAGTTTAATTATTGATTACTCTTCACTTCTCTAAAAGTTAATTGTTAGGAAAATAGTGGAAAATCACCGAGTATTAATTATATTCATGAGATTTAAACAATTATGAAATACATAAACATATTTCAAACGACCACTGTAGAATTATTTGCATTAATTAACAATTTCACAAGTACATTTCGTAGGAAAGGTTTGAAGAAATGCAACATCGGATTGTGACATCAACTAAACTTGGTCGAATTCCGGGGGAAGTACATGATCAACATAAAGGGTTTTCTGAATGGAAAAGTTCATACACTTCTAAAGATGATCATGACACTATCCTTCAGGTTATTATTATACATATATCACTCTTTTATTTGCTTGCTGATTTAACTAGCTTATAATTTAAAGAAATTTTGTTTTCAAGTATTATATTAACATTCAAAAATTGTTGCCAAACATCTTTATACACAATTATTGCTAACATTTAACGGACAAAAGCAACATATATATCACTAGCTAGGTATATAAATAAATAAGATAAGATAAACTATCACTTTGTCAAACAAGTCAAGTAAATCAACGAACACTCATGAGACATGATTATTTATCCTAAAGCTTGATACCAAAAGTATTTAAATTAAATCATGCTTTAATGATAATTACTTACTTATTTCTACATTATATTAGTAGTAATCTAGTATTTTACTAGCTTAACTTGGTTAGTTTTTCATGGGTGTAGATATTAATTGATGGAAGAGATTCAAAGGCAAAAGATGTTGAGGGGTGTATTTTACCTTCTCTTGTTTACTTAGCCCGAGAGAAGAGACCTCAACAATTTCATAACTTCAAAGCTGGAGCTATGAATGCATTGGTAAGCTATCTAAATTTTACTTAATACTTTTAAATGCTTTATTATTAAGAATTCTTCGTCGATCTATGTAACATATACAGATTGATCTAAATGCATGCGATGTGTGCTTCACGATTTGAACACTAGAATGACTATAGCTACTTTGGGATGTATATAATTAATTTGAACTTCCATATATTTTTATTCAGAGATTTCATGAAAAATTACTATGTAACATGCAGATTAGGGTGTCATCAAAAATTAGCAATGGACCGATAATCCTGAACGTGGATTGTGATATGTACTCAAACAATCCACAATCAATTCGAGATGCACTTTGTTGCTTCATGGATGAGAAGAAGAGTCAAGACATTGCTTTTGTACAATTTCCTCAAGCTTTCGAAAACGTTACCAAGAATGATATATATGGTGCCTCTCTTAGAGTGATCTCTGATGTAAGATTTTATATGTTATTACCAATTAACTTAACTTATATTTTTTTCCCAAACAAAGACTCAAACCTATAAGAAAACCTTTTATATACCCCGTGTTTATATAGAGGTAGTTGCATATAGTTGCACCTAAGGGAAGTTTTTTGCTCATTTAATATATTTTTTTCTCATTTGAATTTTAATGAGCAAAAAACATTAAATGAGCAAAAAATACCCTTAAATGCCCCTTGCACCTGGGTGATGTATATAAAAATCTTCAAAAATTAAGATATATTCGATCTACTAAACGTACTCTAATAATTTTGTTTTTATTTCGATTATGATCGATTATGTTATGTCACATATTCACAATAATATGTATGTATGTATACATGAAGGTGGAGTCACCTGGCTTGGATGCCCTAGGAGGTACGTGCTATATCGGAACCGGTTGTTTCCACCAAAGAGAGATCTTGTGTGGGAAGAAGTATAGTTTAGACTATAAGGCTAATTGGAAGATGCAAGATAATAATGTAGCAAAGGAGCAAGAAAATGTGGAAGAATTGGAAGAGAAAGCCAATGTTCTTGCTAGTTGCACTTATGAAATGAACTCTCAATGGGGAAAAGAGGTAAATTTTTCTTACTCTTTATTCTTTTATTTCAATCTACCACAATTAATTATGTAGCATAAGAAGATCTTTGAGTACACCAATATCGAGTATCATACATGTGTTTTGAATTTTAAGGCACAAATGCATTACGTATATATAGATCTAAAATATTTTTATTTTATAGTGATAGTATATTTTGTCATATTGTAGATGGGTTTAAGATATGGTTGCGCCGTTGAAGATATACTAACAGGATTGTCAATCCATAGTCGAGGTTGGAAATCAGTGTTCTTGAACCCGAAAAGGAAAGCTTTCATAGGAATGGCACCAACTACATTAATCGATACATTAGTCCAACACAATAGATGGTCAGAAGGTTGGCTTCAAATCATGCTATATAATTGTCCTTTGATTTATGGACATCCAAGAATGAACTTGGGTCATCGATTGGGTTATTGTCACTTCTGCCTTTGGGCTTGCAATTGCTGGTCAACCCTCTATTATTGTGTTATTCCTTCTCTTTATATGCTCAAAGAAATTTCCTTATTTCCAAAGGTAATTTTGGTTATATGATTTTTTTTATTGCAATCAATACTCGCCCTTTGTGTTTTTTGTGAGATGTAAAAAAATCAATTGTTACAAGTAATGATAAATGATTGATTAATTTTTTCTAATGATATTTATTTCTTTTTGTTTTAGATCACAAGCACATGGTTTCTCTTCTTTGCTTATGTTATAATTGCCAAGTACTCCTATAGCTTAGGAGAATTTATATCTAATGGTGGCACGGCCTTAGGCTGGTGGAATGAACAAAGGATGTGGCTCTACAAGCGAACATCGGCCTACCTCCTCGCCTCCATCGATACTCTTCTAAAGCTATGTGGAATATCAAACATGAAGTTTGTGATTACATCCAAAGTAGTTGATGAAGATGTGTCCCAAAGATATGAAAAGGAGATAATGGAATTTGGAGTTGCTTCTCCCATGTTTGTTATCTTGGAAACCCTAGCATTGATGAATTTGTTTACCCTTATCTTTACTTTGAAGATGGGATATGGAATCATTAATAAGTTGGGCTTGCAAATTTTACTGTGTGTAGTTTTGGTTCTTGTTAATCTACCATTGTACAAAGGTATCTTGATTAGGAAGGATAAGGGTAAGGTACCCACCTCTGTTACCATAAAATCAATTTTTATTACACTTTTAGTTGTACTTATTATCAAGTTTTGAGGTTGAGCTTTTGAATTGAGGTCATGAGCTCAATTCCAACTTGCTAAAGTTTGAAGATATCGTTTCCTTACTTTTAAAGTCTTTAAGCTCTAATTGAGTTAAGAGTACACGTATGATCGATTAATCTAGCCATGTAACATATTTATCTTAACCTTTCTGTACTTTAGTGATTCTTGCACTTAACTTTAAAAGTATATTTATATATTGATATTAGGCTTCACCAATCAAATAATTAGAATCCTTATTAGTTCAAGTAGGTTAGACTACTATCAACTTAGGTTGAAATTGTCAGCCTTATATTATGCTTTTTTCTTTACTTTATTAAATTATTACTTGTATTACCTAATAATACTTAATTCTTATTAAAATTAGATTTGATCATATTAGACTAGGTTAGAAAAACTTATAAAATAAGATATAAAGTTTTTTTTAACAAAATTCCCCTTGATAATGTACTAATTATACATTAAATTTCAGTCAATTAAGACAAACATATTAAACCAAAATTAATAAAGAAATAAATCATATGTATTAGACTTTGGAAATTTCAAACAAAATCACCAATTTTTATATGAAAACAACGAAGTTTCCTTATGAATTCAGATGTAGGGCATGTTCACATTTATTGAACTAAACTAAACCGAAATGAACTGATTGGAGCTGAACTGAACTGAATTAATTAGAGCTGAACTGAACTGAGCTGAAATGAATATTTTATGAGAGAGAGAAATTAGGAGCTGAACTGATTAGAATTGAACTGAACTAATTGGAGCTGAACTGAACTGAAATTAAGTAAATGTGAATAGGCTCGTATTCTATTCATCGGATTTTCACTTATATGAACTTATACAAGTATAAATTTAAATAAATTTATTTTAGTTGTAATTTATATTTGACTAATCCTTATCAAACTTTTTTTTATTAACTGAACTTGTCTTAAGTTAATTGAATTTATCCCGAATTTAACTTACAAAATTTTAATTAAAATCACCTATAACCCAGATACTCTTTTTACTACATCAAAAATAAGAATTAAAAAAAATGGTTGCCTACGTGGAAGTCAGAGATTGGTTAAAGTACGTGGAGTTTATACCAGTGGGCCCTCACGTGAGAAGCAAAGTAAGTGACATGGGTCAGTTAATTAGTTGGTCTCCTATGAAACAGTAGATCAAAACCCAAAACTACAACTTCCATCATCGTACAACTTTTCATTCGAATTTTTGTTGACTACTGTAAATTTACTTTATTCGTATTCAATTAAATAAATAAATTTTTTTTTTTTTAAAAAAAAAAAAATCTGCCTATCTAATTTTTTTTTTTCTCATACTTTTCATGATTATCTTGGATTAATCTATCAACATCAACTTCTTCTGGTAAAGGTAATCTCTTTTCTCTGCAATCGTTAATTTCAATTAATTTTTTTCTGGGTTTTGTTTATATACTTTTTTTGTTTGTGTGTTTAATAATTTGTGAAATTAATTTATGTTATGCCCAAAGATCTAGTTAATTTGTTTGCTGCAAATTCTTTATTTAATTGAAATTTTGTAGGAATTGGGAATTTGGCTTGGTAAATCAGGGGTAATTTACTAATTAGATTTAATAATTTCTGTTCATGGGATATCAATTTTTTTTTTAATTTAAAAATTACATTTTCGATGCTGAATACTATTTTCAGATTTTAAAACTGAATTTATGCTAGTATGATGAGGAAATATTCAAGCTTTATTGTTTTTGGATGATTATATGATTCTTATGATTGATATATGCTGTAATTTAACGAAGATATGGTTGGCTTGTAAATTATAATTGGGTGATGAAACTAATGGTAAATTCGTTGTTTTAAGCACGAATTATACTCCCTTCGTTCTCAAATTGTTGTTCCGGATTTTAAGAGTGGAAGTTGGAGCGTAATTTAAACTAGTAATGTTACTAATGTATCATCAAAGTGTCTTCTTGAGTTCATAGGTTGAGCAATGATGAGCTTGGTTTGTGAAAGTAAAAGGTCAAAATGTGGCTTAGATTATAGTTTTTGGATTGACTTGTTTCTTGAGACAGACATATACTTTGTTATGATTGAAGGATTTAGGGTTTGATTGATTGATTGTTTGATGATCGAAGGATTTGTTTAGCTTTGTAGATAAAAAGATAACATGGACTATTGAAGTGTATGCAAATCCAAGTGGCCTTACTCATCTTGATTTAAAGTATTTGACATAAGTAGTTGAAGGCTCGATTCCACGAGGTAACAAATTGAAACGATATAGTAGAGATAGTAATTTTACACTGACTGTCTACTCTAGCTCTAGGAAGTTTATTTCAAATATTGCTCTTTTTCCCGTCAATTAATTTCAAGGTAGGTAATGGGGATCCTCTATCTACTGAAAAGGATTCTTAGGCAGGATAGAACCCTGTAGTACCCTTTATCTACTGATGTTCCATAGCTCACTTCTATCTCATCCTGTTAGTGGGCATTTGGGTTAATTCTTCTTGAAATTTTACCTTCAAGAGCTTAGGTAGGAGTTGTAGAAGCGTACTACAGTAGCTCGTTGTGTATCCTTGTGTTTATTCATTTGTCGTCCTCCCAGATTAGGAGACTCTGATTGTTCGGCTCTTTGAAGATCTTTACTTGTCAATGTCTCCTTATTCGCTAGTTCTTGCATCGTGATATGGAAGCTTATCTCTGGCACAGGTTTTCAGTATCTTGGATTTAGCCGGTTTAGATCTTTATGAAAGTTGGGAAACATAAGGCTGCAAATTTTGTGGCAAACTATGTTTTCTGTGATTTTTTTGGTTAGAGTGAATTATAACTTTATAAGATTTCTCAGAATTACTATTTTTTCTGCTCTCCTTATGGCATGAAACGGTGCATATCATTTCTCTTTAGCTTCAATCTCATGTAGTTTCTTTAGCATGCACAAATTAAATTACTGATTATTCATCTATTGCTATACACCGAACAAGCTTATCAAAGTTAACGTAATGTCCAAGTGACATAGCATGTGTTACTTCCATTGATTGTCAACCAAAAGAGTTTTATTGGTTTCATAGTTTTTGTCGTTTCGTTGGGGTTTTGCTCTTTACGGCCTATGACACACTCTATACTTGATTGGAAATACAGATGAAAATCTCTTGCTGGACAACATTAATATCTATCCTGCTACTGGCTCTATCCAGCTTGCAACCGGCAATTGGCCTTAGGTTTGTAATTGATAGAGCAGAGTGTTTTTCCCATAATGTTCAGTTTGAATGGGATACAGTCCATGTCTCATTTGTTGTGATTAAGTCCGAATCTCCTTGGCGCTCAGACGATGGTGTTGATCTAGTGGTGAGTTGAAACTGCTCCAGCATAATATTTAGTTATTTATGCTTTTCTTTCAGTTAACAAACTACTTGTATTGCTATTTGCTCTGGTCGACATTCTATGATCACTTTCTCCTATATGCTTAAGGTTTTGGATTAAAGGCTTTCATAATGTACCACTTGTCCTTTGTTTAAATTGCATAGTTTAAGTTCTGAACAAACCTGACTCAAGTAATATTGATGGTCTATCCATATCACCTTCTCTTGGCTTATATATATACGCGATAGTCTCCACAACATGTACAGACCAACGCTAAAAGGGGGGGGGGGGAGAATGTAAATGTGGTCAGAACTAACACAACATATGATCTGATTGTGGTATAATATGGTGAAGTTCGGATAGGAAGAATTTTCCCTACTCGTTCGTGCGTAGGGATTAATGTATTCAATGGTCTATGAACACCATATCATCTGTGTTCCTTCTCCCATGGTAAAACAACATTTAGGATATTCTGGTCCTTACTCAGAAACCTCTGGAAACTCAAAAGAAAATGTTTTTTTTTTTTGAAAGACCAATATGTCTTGGACCATATTGTAATATTTCTTGTTTAGGGGTCTAATTGGGCCACTTTGGATTCCTGATGCCATTGTTGAGTCTAATGGTAATATTTGGTTGAATGCGGATGATGAAACAGCTCGATAATAAAAAAATTTTAAGTTATTAGATGATTTCTGAAATGAATTGGACGGTAGTTGTGTAATGTTGGTTCATTATTCTTCATCTCTGGGCAGTTTGCATTGCCTTTAATTGGAATTTTGTAGCCTTCTTCTAGTGTTAAAGCATTGAAGAACATGTTGCTTTCTAGTAAAAACTTTCTTGTTTCATATTACGCAAAGTCTTTGACTGATCTATAAGTTTACTGGAACGTGGAACATGGAACTCTTGGTGGTTCCATTGGTTGAATTGTACTAGGGGTTAGGTTTATTACTCCTATTATTTTGTGATAAATACCCATACAATATGATTATACTGAATGGAACATTTTTATTGCTGTATTTTACAGGTGAAGGGACCTGAAGGCGATCAGATCCATGACACCCATGATAAGATCAGTGAAAAATTCGACTTTACTGCTCATAAAAAAGGACCTTTCAGTTTCTGCTTCACCAATAAGTCACCTTATCATGAAACCATTGATTTCGATGTACAAGTCGGACATTTTACATACTATGACCAGCATGCAAAGGATGGTAAGACAACAGTTTTCCCTATCTTAGCTTCATAAGAGGTTTCTAATATATTGATATAAGGTGAGATAGCTGTTTGTCAAATTTATGTACATGTTTGCAGAGCATGTGAAACCCTTGGTAGAGCAGATTGAAAAGCTCGGTCAATCTCTTTACAACATTCAGTTTGAACAGCATTGGCTAGAGGCACAGACTGATCGACAAGCACTAGGTACTTTATTAATCTCCTCTCGAGTTTAGAATTCAACCATTTCAGATGCCTTCTTGAATTTTAGAGTACTTTCTAATACCTACTCTCCTTGTAGTCACTTCTACATGACGTTGAATTCATCTGTTAGAGGGCCTAAAAATGGTTTGCCATAAGTAGTAATATCTCTCAAGTGTCGTTATAAACTCTTATTGTGTTGACTGTGTCTCGTATCTGTATGACAATGCAGTGAATGAAGCTATGAGCAAGAGAGCAATCCATAAAGCCGTTATGGAATCATTTGCTCTAGTTGGTGCAAGCGTGTTGCAGATATACTTATTGCAGCGATTATTTGAAAGGAAGCTTGGGACTTCAAGAGTCTAAAATATTCATCACATTAGTGATTTGTTAACATCTCATAATCTTTGTGTTTCACTGTTTTGGGAAATAGCTTAGTTTTGCTTTAGGATCTTTCTATTGTGTTATTTTTAAGAGAGGATATCAATGGATTTTCCTTTTTTTTTTTTTGTGTGTGTAACAAAGAATCTTTGAAGTATAGGTTTTTAATTGGGTGAATCAAAGAAATTATTAAATTTGGTATATTATATACTCCCTCCACCCACAATTATCTACAACATTTGCTATAAATGGGTGCTCTCTATTATGTGCAACAATTTTTTATCTTTCCTCTTTTAGTAAATTTTGAAGTGTAAAAAGATCATTTTACCAAACTTAAACATATGGGACCACTTTCTCTCTCCTTTTTCATTCACTTTAACCCACTAACAAACTTCAAATATATTGAACCACTTTCTCTCTCCTATTTCCCTCCTTTTTACAACTAAATTAAACACAACTAAACTTAATTAAACTACACTAAAAGTTTTGTCTAGGAGTTAGCAAAAAGGACGTTTGGTGCAGATAATCGTGGGCGGAGGAAGTATAATCATTATATGATGTCATAAGCGTCCGTGTTAGGCTTGAGTTTACGAAATCACTTCAAGTTGTGAACGGGTAAAATGACAGTTTAAGGGCGTATTGGATGCTTCCACTGAACCATTGGACTCCTGGAGGGTATTATGGACCATGGTAAATATCTTGGTAATTTTTATTTTCGGGCGAAAAAAGGTCAAAAAAATTACAAAATTAAAGGCTATATATTCCACTTTGAGGAAATTTTGAGGTTTTGGGGCCCATTGATGAAAAGCCTTGAGATCATAAGGGATACATCTCGGGGTCATATAATGTCGTTTGAAACCATATACGATCATTATATAATGTCATAAACGTTTGTGGTAGGCTTGAGCTTACGAAATCACTACAAGTTGTAAACGGGTAAATGACCGTTTAAGGGCATATTGGGCGGTTCGACCCAATTGGACTCCCGGAGGGTATTAGAGACCATGGTAAACATCTCGACAATTTTTATTTCCAAGCGAAAAAAAGTCAAAAAATTACAAAATTGAAGGCTCTAATCCACGTTTTTTGAGGAAATTTTGAGGTTTCGGGGCCCGGTGGTGAAAAGCCTTGAGACCATAAGGGATACATCTCGGGGTCATATAATGTCGTTTAAAATCATATATAATCATTATATGTTGTCATCAACGTCTGTGGTATGTTTGAGATTACGAAATCACTACTAGTAGTGAACGGGTAAAATGACCGTTTTATGGCATATTGAGCGATTCCACGACCTAATTTCACTCCCGCAGTGTATTAGGGACCATGGTACATCTCGGTAATTTTAATTTTCGGGCGGAAAAAGGTCAAAAAATTACAAAATTGAAGACTATAACCCAATTTTGAGATTTCGTGGCTGGTGGCTAAAAGCCTTGAGACCCTAAGGGATACATCTCAGGCTCATATAATGTCGTTTGAAACCATATATGATCATTATATGTTGTCATAAACGTCCGTGGTAGGCTTGAGTTTACGAAATCACTACAAGTAGTGAACGGGTAAAATGACTGTTTAAGAGCATATTGGATGGTTCCACCAACCCAATTGGACTCTTGGAGGGTGTTAAGGACCATAGTAAAATCTCGGCAATTTTTATTTATGCGCGAAAAAAGATCAAAAAATTACAAAGTTGTAGGCTATAATCCACGCTTTTGAGGAAATTTTGAGGTTTCGGGGCCCATTGACGAAAAGTCTTGAGATCCTAAGGGATACATTTCAGGGTCATATAATGTCGTTTGAAACCATATATGATCATTATATGTTGTCATAAACGTCCGTGGTAGGCTTGAGTTTACGAAATAACTACAAGTTGTAAACGAGTAAATGACCGTTTAAGGGCATATTGGGCGGTTCCATCGACACAATTGGACTCCTGGAGGATATTAGGGACCATGGTAAACATCTCGACAATTTTTAATCTCAGGCGAAAAAAGGTCAAAAAATTACAAAATTAAAGGCTATAATCCAAGTTTTTGACTAAATTTTAAGGTTTCGGGGCCCGGTGACGAAAAGCTTTGAGACCCTAAGGATAAATCACGGGGTCATAAAATCCCATTTGAAGCCGTATATGAATATATGATCTGATCATTATCTGTTGTAATAAACGTCCGTGGTAGGCTTGAGTTTACGAAATCACTACCAGTTGTAAACGGGTAAAATGACCGTTTAAGGGCATATTGGATGGTTCCACCGACCAATTGGACTCCCGAAGGATAATAGGGACCATGGTAAAAATCTCGGCAATTTTTATTTCCAGGCGAAAAAGGTCAAAAATTACAAAATTAAAGCATCCACGTTTTTGAGTAAATTTTGAGGTTTCAGAGCCCGGTGACGAAAAGCCTTGAGATCCCAAGGGATACATCTCTGGGTTATATAATTTCATTTTAAATCATATATGATCATTATATGTTGTCATAAACGTCCGTGGTAGGCTTGAGTTTACGAAATCAGTACAAGCACTGGACGGGAAAATGACCGTTTAAGGGCATATTGGATGGTTCCACCGACCCAGGGTTTTAGGGACCATGGTAAACATCTCGGCAATTTTAATTTTCGGGCGAAAAAAGGTCAAAACATTACAAAATTGAATGCTATAATCCACGTGAAAAATTAGAGAGAAGCTAGAGAATAGAATGGCTTGTCTATTATTCATCAATAGGTGAGTATTTATACAAAACCTACGAACATAAGATAGGAAACAATATTCCTAAAAGATATACCATATAACCTAATGATATATTCTCTAAATAATATCTTAACATAAGATAATACTAAATATATTATTATCATAACAATATCTATACGGAAAATATATCACATATATTTTCCGATATCTCTAACACCCTCCCGCAATTGTAACGGCAGTAACACGAACGTTGCGATTGGAAATTCTTCACTTTGTTGAAGCCGAGATGCACACTCTTGTGATATCGCCTTCAATTTTTGTCTCTTCTTTTTCAACGATGAGAACGTTCATCTTATTGAACTCATCAGTCATCAATCAAATAGGAACGTCATTCTTTTCGAACCTGCAAATATAACAATTTTTGGTTTTTCCAGAGAAAAACCGAGCTCCAATCAAATATTGGTTTGTCAGAGTAAACCACACTCAAATTTCTTATTAGTCTTTCAGAGTAAACCACACTCAAATTTCTTATTGGTTTTTAGAGTAAACCACACTCAAATTTCTTATTGGTCTTTCAGAGTAAACCACACTCAAATCCAAAGGAGCAAAATTATGCTCGAATCAACTCACAAAACTTGTCTCGCGGCACAAGGAGAACCAATTTCTTGTCTCACGACACAAGAGAGCCGAAAACTTTTTTTTTTTCATCTTTGAGAGTCAAAGACACACCAGCAACTTTATTTTGATCTCAATGCTTAGAAAAGCCACGCATGATGTAATGTATACATCAAGTCATCAACTCAAACTCTGCACCAACACTAACTTGCACATAGGAATAAACTAAAAAAAAATTTGGTAATTTTTGCTAAAGGATCATCCCACCGATGGGTTTAATTTCTAACCCACCAGTAGGGGGGAAATTTTTTATGAGCGGTCCCAAGATTTAACCTGCTCTTGATAACATGACAAATTAGAGGGAAGCTAGAGAATAGAATGGCTTGTCTATTATTCATCAATAGGTGAGTATTTATACAAAACTTACGAACATAAGATAGGAAACAATATTCCTACAAGATATACCATATAACCTAATGATATATTCTCTAAATAATATCTTAACATAAGATAATACTAAATATATTATTATCATAACAATATCTATAGGGAAATTTAATCACATATATTTTCTGATATCTCTAACATCACGCTTTTTTAGGAAACAATCCATGTTTTTGAGGAAATTTTGTGGTTTCGGGGCCCGATGCCGAAAAGCCTTAAGACCCTAAAAGATACATATCGGAGTCATATAATGTATTTTACAACAATATATGATCCTTATATGTTGTCATAAACGTCCATGGTAGGCTTGAGTTTACAAAAATGTAAACGGGTAAAATGACCGTTAAGGGCATATTGGATGGTTCCACCGACCCAATTGGACTCCTGTAGGGTATTAGAGACCATAGTAAACATAAAGGTAATTTTAATTTCCGGAAAAGGTCGAAAAATTACAAAATTGAAGGCTATAATCCACGCTTTTTTAGGAAATTTTAAGGTTACGGGGCCTGGTAGCGAAAAGTCTTAAGACCCTAAGGGATAAATCTCGGGGTCATATAATGGCGTTTGAAACCATATATAATCATTATATGTTATCATAAAGGTCTGTGGTAGGCTTGAGTTTACGAAATCCCTACAAGTAGTAAACGGGTAAAATGGCCGTTTAAGTGCATATTGGATGGTTCCACCGACCCAATTGGACTCCCGAAGGATATTAGGGACCATGGTAAAAATTTCGGTAATTTTTATTTCCGGGTGAAAAAGATCAAAAATTACAAAAGTAAAGGCTAAAATCCATGTTTTTGAGGAAATTTTGTGGTTTAGGGGCCTGGTGACGAAAAGCCTTGAGATCCTAAAGGATACATATCAGTGTCATATAATGTCGTTTGAAACCATATATGATCATTATATTTTGTCATAAATGTCCGTTGTAGGCTTGAGTTTACGAAATCAATACAAGTATTGAACGGGAAAATGACCGTTTAAGGGCATATTGGATGGTTCCACTGACCGTGTTGGATTCCTGGAAGATATTAGATACCATGGTAAACTCCTCGGTAATTTTTATTTCCAAGCGAAAAAAGGTCTAAAATTACAATATTGAAGGCTACAATCCACGCTTTTTTAGGAAATTTTAAGGTTTCGGAGCCCGGTGGCGAAAAGCCTTGAGACCCTAGGGGATAAATCTCAGGGTCATATAATCTCGTTTGCAACCATATATAATCATTGTATATTATCATAAACGTCCGTGGTAGGCTTGAGTACGAGTTTACGAAAAAACTACAAGTTGTGAACGGGTAAAATGACCGTTTAATGGCATATTGGGAAGTTCCACTAACCCAATTGGACTCCGGGAGGGTATTAGGGACCATGGTAAACATTTCGGCAATTTTAATTTCCAGGCAAAAAAAGGTCAAAAATTTACAAAATTGGAGGCTATATAATCCACGATTTTTGAGGAAATTTTTTGGTTTCGGGGCTCGGTGGCGA